AATGAGTTTTTTTTTGATTATTCAAATCCCACATTAATTTCGTCCAATTAGCCGATGTTTTTGCCATAATTAAGGATTGTGTGGGGAGCGGTAGGTTATGACTAATATTGTTTTATTTACTTTCTTGTAAATAGTTTTTCACATATTGTAAATACTTACTCGGGTTTAGATTTTTAAATTGTCGTTTTATTATTTGTATTTCATAGAGAATCTGTGGTATTATGGTGAGTGTAGTAAGCACGGTATGTAAGAATGTGTTGTTTTCGTATAAGGAATATTGTGGTATATTTGGGTCAGTGATTGTGGTTACCTAAGTTTAATTATAAGACAGTAGACCAGCCTTTCTCCCCCAACGCCCCTTTTGGCCTTGTGCCAGATTTTTAATACAGAATAAATACTGTAGTATATATTTTCTACGTCATCGGCCGGCTTGCAAGTGACTGTTACCATGTGCGTTGGATTTTTTATCATTTCCATGTATTGAGGATTTTTGACATTTGACCTGCGATTCGTGATTTCAACATTTCTTTCTGCCACTGGATCTTCGAGTTTGGACTTGCGATTTGTTTAGATCGTTGTGGAATTGGTCTGCCATATCAATTTCTGAACGGACGTCTTTAATCATTTCATGCATTGTTATACAGCCTTTCATTGTCACCAACTGCTCTTAATTTAGTTAATTTAAATGACAGTTTGATCAAATCTGTCAGATTAATAAATAAATAAAATCCATTACGTCTTTAGAAATTGCTTTGTTTACATTTGGATACGAAATTAAACAGATATGGATTTTTCGAGAATCTATGACGAGATTTCGCTCAAAGAAACTATTCAATCTTCCCTGATCGGAAAAAAAGATCTCTGTAGATCAGTCGGTTAGAGCTCGTTGGATCTAACGACAGTTTCCTCTGCAGAGGAGGTCGCAGGTTCGAATCCGCTCGGAGAGCGAAAATTTTTATTTAATAAGATTTTTTCAGGCCAGTAGACAAAAAATAATAAACGGTGCGTCTACTCAAATATGAGTATCCACTAAAAATAAAGTTTGCAGTGATGAAATCTGTCAGATTAATTAATAAAAACTGATTGCTTCTTTAAAAAATTGCACAGTTTGTGAAGTCAATCTATGATGAAGAGAGTTGGTCGCTTTTCATAATGCCTTTTCCTTCGATTCTTGTACAAAAAAAAAGTTTCTTTTCGCTTTGTAGCAAATTTCTAAATGTTAACCCATGATTTTTCTTCGACTCCTTTTCATTTGTAAAGTTTTTTTTTTTTCAGATTTGCGAAAAGGCCGTGTCCGTCATAAATGACAGTGGATATGAACAGATTGTAGAATTCCCTTGTGAGTGACTTTTTCTTTTTTTAATTTCTGATATTTGTCAAAAGAGATCATAAAAAATTGAGGAGGTCATTTATAGATAAATGGTTGGAATAAACTATTCGGAAGTCGATTCTTCGTTTAGATTTTGAGCAATTTGGCTTTGAGTTAAATTTCGATTCGTTCAACAAATAAAACAACTTCAGTGAAATAAATTCATTTGTAACAGCCTTCGATATAATCATTCTAAAAATCAATCTAAATGCATAAAAAAGTAATATCTCTCATTATATTCCTTTTCTAAAACATTGGAATTGTCGCCGTTGACCAGTTTCTGTATGAATTGATTTTTATTGAACTTATATTTTGTCAATGAAATCTTAAAAACTAATTTATATATGTATATGCAGTCAACGACAAAATTATTTGTACACCCATTGATTTTGAATATTTTTATCCATTTCTCAGAATCTAATGCCTGTATGATGCCAGATTTTTTAATATTTTAATAAGAACAAAAAAGGAATATAAAACTCAATTTTCAGAACAATAGGTTAAATACGGCAAATTTGACAGAATTATAAAAATATTGAAAATTGATAGGTGTACACGTAATTTCGTCATTGACTGTATATGTGTGTGTGTGTGTGTGTGCGATATTTGTACGAACACAAGAAAAATTAAATAAAAAGCTTAATTGTAGTACCTTGTCAGTTGTCTTTAACGAAACCCCCCCATATATATATATATATTATAAAATCACTATAAAATAGCCTATTTCAACACTTCTGATGTCTTATATAGTGATATCAAGTGATATCAAGTGTCTTTGAACACCATCACTTGATAAGACACCAAAAGTGTTGAAACAAAATGGCTATTTTTGTAGTGATTTTATAATATATTTATGCTATAATTTTCGATTAAACTATATTTGCTCTACTCTGTATTGAGCACTCTTTTAAGAATAGTATTTTTGGTTATTGGAATTTATTCCGTATACACCTAACCTATATATATATATATATATATATATATATAGGTAAAGATGTTTGGTAATCTGCATGGATAATTCCAGGGAGGATATAATCCAAAGAGTTTAATGTAAAAACAGAGCAAATATTAAGAAACAGACAACTTTAAGGATTCATAGTGATTACAATTTATTTCCTTAGAATTGAAATTCGATTCTAATTCCTCAGATCAACATTTTCATGCAAATAAATGGGTGGCAAATCTTCCAGATATAAGAAGAATTCACTATTATTATTATTAATTTATGCAAAAGTTGATCTGAGGAATTAGAATCGAATTTCAATTATAAGGAAATAAATTGTAATCACTATGAACTAATTTTTTTTAATATATATATATATATATATATATATATATATATATATATATATATATATATATATATATTTGTGTATTTAGGCAGCAATCCTTCTTTCATGCACATTTCATTGAATACAACAGACAAGGTACTTTTATTTAGTCTTTTTTTTTATACAATTTCTCATGTGATCTAATAATTTTTTTTCTTTTCAGATGATAAATTATATAAAATCTGTCCGAATGTTCTTTTTATCCGAGCACTTTCGGCTAAATGCCTAAATATATAGCCGAATGCGCTCGGATAAAAAGTTAATCTTCATCGCGGGTGCGTGCATGTTAGGTTCGTAAGGCATTTTGAGCATCTTGTGTAGATATTTAGACTAAGAAGCCGGTTAAATTTGATTCTGTAGTCGGCGTCCCAGAAATTAAGTTTCGGGATGTGGTTGCAGGTCAACTTTATCAGTGACTGAGAATATTTATTGAGGTTGTATATAGTCTGAAGAATTCTTGTATCTTTCAGTAACCCTTCCATTGAGTCATGATTTTGTCTTGGACTACAGACTTGAGGCAGATCCAATCTTTACAACTTTCTACATACAAACTGATCACAGAGTAAGCCATTGTTTTACTATTATTATTATTAGTTTTATTATTATTATTATTATTATTATTATTATTATTATTATTATTATTATATTTCCTTTGATTTCTGGTGTATACTCATTTCTTTCCGGGTTGCAACCAGAGACCTAAGGTCAGAAATGGCGTCATGACATTTTCCACTGAGCATTTTCTGAGGTAAAAAAAAAACTAAAATCACACACATTTTACATAGATAAAACCCTTCGTAATGTGTGAGCTGCACTTGTGAATACAATTGTTTGTATTTCTTTAAGGCATGGGCTAACAGGAATCCCTTCACTGTGTCTAGCGGAACATTTTACATTCAATCCGAGTACTCCAACTACAACTGGAATTATTGATACCCTCATATGTCACATTTTTGAGATTTCCATTTCAAGGTCCTTTATTTTGATAGTTTTTTTTTAAGATCTTCAAAGAGATAATTACAATGTCAATAAGAAAGGTCGTCCTGTTTTGGTGGTGTCTGATCACAGTTTCTGGGCGATTAGCTTTGATTGATCAGTCTGTGTTTATTTTAAAGTCCCATAAAACTCTTACGGATCCTATCTCTGTAAATGTGTCTGGGTGGTTTTCATAGCAATTTCTTGCAGTTTCCTTTCCGTAAAAGTTGCAGATTTTCCAATGAAGATATTAATCCAACGATATCTCAGTTTCAGTTAATTCCCGTTTATCTCAACTCTCCAAGATTTGTTCACAAGTTTGAAGTCTCTGATAAAATCAACAACAAAGATGTTGTTAGGCGAAATCATTCATTAATGATAAAGTGTCAAGCCAAAAACAACAATGATGAGGAGAACTGTCGAGAAATGATTAGTTTTGACACCAGTTCATTTCAAGCTCTAAAACAACGACGTCTCTATATAACGTATTCAGAGCCACGGCCTGGTCACAACGCCCAATCATAAGACGGTGTTCAGGGTCCGGTCTGCTTCGGTCACCAGGTATGGCGGTACTCCATGTTAAATATTGTTACACTATAAGGATCCTTTTTCTTCTTCGGAATGGCAAAGATTTCTAATAAAGATGGCTTCTTTCTTTCTTTTAACATATTTTTACGGAGGCACGGTGGAGTAATGGATAGCTCGGACTGAGGAATCGGAGAGCCGCGTTCGAATTCCATTCGCATCCATTACATTCACTTACGTGCTAATACCCTTGGGAAAGGTATGAATTCTCTTCTTCTTCTCCCAGCTATGGGTAAATAGCAGAACAGACCGGGTTCTATAGCTTTGGATAGCAATTGGTAAGAAATGGCAACCTACTGCGGGAAAAAAATTTGCTTCGTCAGTTATGTATCGAAAGATACATGATCGTCTAAGCGCGTATCACGCATAGCACGTAACTGAATAGGAAAGATTTCTAATAAAGATAGCTTTTTTCTTTCTTTCAACATTTTTTACATCGACATCTTTCTCATAATTCCTTGGAACTTGTTAATCTAAATTTCCGTTTATAAATTATGACCTTGATTAACTGTTTATTCGTATTTGTGGAAATGTGTCTTTAATTCGAGTTTTGTTAATCCCCACCCCACATTCACACCATTGATTCAACCAAAAGAGAAAAGCTCCATATAATTATTTCTTCTTCTTTCATGTTGGCATATTCTGATTTTTTTCAGGCCAGGGTTTCTTGGTACAATTCCAACGATAATGACGTTCCCTTTAAGCCTGATGATTTGCCTTACATCAGTGACAACAAAAAGATGTTATATTTCATTATTTCAAATTACGTCATTGACTCCTGGACATACGCAGCCCACAAACATAATTTACTGAAATACGACTTCACAACCAGAAACGTAAGTTCTTTTATATTGTGTTCTTTAAGGCAAATGTTTGTCCTGCTACATTTGGTAATATCACGTGAAGTAACCTTTTTTTTTTCTCGTATCTGAAAATCTCCAAAAAATTATTAAAATCCCAAAATATATTCCGGCTTTAAATAACCTGCAAAAGGTTGATAACCCGTAAATCACATCAATCAATCTTGCAGGACAATAATAAAAGCGCGTACATAGGATTGCTACGATCAAAATTGAGTGAAAGCTATGACGGAAGAGGCGAGGTAATATCATATTTAATCTGACACAAGGCTATTCGCCATTGTCAGGCGGAAAAGGTTCACCCTGTATAAGGCTCGGGACCACTCGCGGTAGAGGGTTACGTTAAGAGACAATTTGTGGAAGATAATAAGAGAGGAAGATAACGGTTAACCTGAGACTTTTTCCCTCCCTCTGTCTCTCTCTTTCTACACTCTCTCTTTCTCCGCTTTCTCCCTCCATCCCCATCTCTCTCTCTCTCTCTCTCTCTCTACCTCCTCTCTCTTTCCCCTACATTTCTCTCCCCTTTCACTCTTCCTCTTTCTCACTCTTTCACCCATCTGTCTCTTTCTCACTCACTCCCTCACTTTCTTTATCCCCTCTTTATCCCTCTCTCTCTCTCCCTCCCTCTCCCTTTCTCCATCCCTTTTTTCTACTTCTCTCTTTCTTTCTTTCTACACCGTCTGTCTCCCATCTCTTATTCTCTCTCTTGCCCTTAATGTCGGAGTTACTTTGACGTCGAAAATGGTCGTAATGAACGTAATGAATAAGATCCTTGACCAGATTCTCAGCTCGTAATCCAATCAAGATGGGTAAAGTTAATGTGAAGATATTTATTAAGTCGTTAATACTTGACAAAAACGTTTATCCATTTTTGTTTAAAGTCCTTTCGACACAAAGAAAAACTCTTCTCCAGTTCTGCGGTGTTTCGACGCTGACAATAGAATGAGATTTCCTTTGATTTGATTTTATATTTTCTTTAGCTCCCAGACGGCAGCAAAGACCTCCTCATGACAACATGTCCTCGGTCAGTTTGCATTGGCACAATTGTACCACAAGTAAGTAAAGAAACCTTTCTTTCTTTCTTTCTATCTTTCTGTTTTTCTGTCTTTCTTTCTTTTTGTCTTTCTTTCTTTCTTCCTTTCTTTCCTTCTTTCTTTCTTTCTTTCTTTCTGTTTTTCTATCTTTCTTTCTTTCTTTCTGTTTTTCTGTCTTTCTTTCTTTTTGTCTTTCTTTCTTTTTGTCTTTCTTTCTTTCTTTCTTTCTTTCTTTCTTTCTGTTTTTCTATCTTTCTTTCTGTCTGTATTTCTTTCTTTCTTTCTTTCTTTCTGTTTTTCTGTCTTTCTTTCTTTTTGTCTTTCTTTCTTTCTTTCATTCTGTCTTTCTTTCCTTCTTTTTTCTTTCTGTCTTTCTTTCTTTTTTCTTTCTTTCTTTCTTTTTTTCTTTCTGTTTTTCATTCTTTCTTTCTTTCTTTCTTTCTAGCTTTCTTTCTTTCAGTTTTTCTATCTTTCTTTCTTTTTTTTCTTTCTTTTTTTTCTTTCTGTTTTTCTGTCTTTCTTTCTTTCTCCTCTTTTTCCTGCTTTCCATTTATATCAATCCTTCTGTTACTCTCTATATATATCTCACACACACACAAACAAACACAAAAACACAAACACAAACAAACAAACGCACCAGTATAATTTAAATTCTGGTTTGCTAAGTTTAATAATCTATCATCTATGTGTTCTATTGTCATTGACGAAAGAATAAATCTCACTTTTTTTTGCCGAATGTGATGCCATATATTATGGGATGTACGGGGGCATGGGGGTAGCAGTTAACGATTCGTAAAGAGAAATAGACGAGCCGAGATCGAATTACGGCCGAGGTCACATTCGCCGGAATATCCTAGTATCTATCTTTTCCCCCACTAGCTATGGATTAAATAGCAGAACTGGTTAAGCTCTGGGAGAAGGAAACACCTGAATTCAAAACCAACCTGGAGAGAAATGAACCCCGTCAGTCTATTTTCCTTTGCACACATCATTGCTGCTATGCAGTGGGTGCAGTGGTCGTGTGACGCTAGCGGGGATACGGGTCTCGTGACGTGACGTATATGAGGTGCCCCAATGTCCCTATAAGGTTACAGGACGGGTGACGTAGATGGGGTGTCCCTATATCCCTGGAGGGCTACCAGACTCGTGACGTAGATAGAGTGCCCCTATGTACCTAGAAGTTTACGGTACTCGTGACATAGATCCGGTGTCACTATGACCCTAGAGGGTTATGAGACTTATGATGTAGATGCGGTGCCCCCATGTCCTTGTAAGGTTACAGGACTCGTGACGTAGATGTGGTCTCCCTACGTCCCTAGAGGTTTACGAGGCTGGTGAAGTGACGTAGATCTGGTGTCGTTGTGTCCCTAGTGGTACCCCTATAACCCTAGAGGGTTGCATGACTCGTGATGTAGTTGCGTTGCCGCTATGTCCCTAATGGTTTACGGGACTTGTGACGTAGATGTGTTGCCCTTATTCCCTAGAGGGTTTCAGGTCTCGTGACGTGACGTAGATGCGATGTCCCATGTCCCTAGACGGTTACGAGACTCGCGGAGTAGATGAGGTGCCCCATGTCCCTAGAGGGTTACGAGACTCGAGACGTAGATGAGGTGCCCTTATTCCCTAGAGGGTTTCAGGTCTCGTGACGTGGCGTAGATGAGGTGCCTCCATGTCCCTATTCATGACGTGACGCGAATCCATATACAACTATGGAAGCCCGTAGATACCACAATTTGAAGCATAGACATCGAATACTGGAACAGTAAAATTAGTTATTTGGACAACAAATGTCAGACTTAATCTCCTGGCTATAACTAAACAATTTATACCCGAGAATCGATTCAACTATTTACCTTCAATTTTTAACTTTAAAAGATCATTTTCTCAGAGGCCTTATAATCTACTTTTCGCTCCTTACCCAGCGGGTATAATGATTTTTGTGCTGTTTTATTAAATGCTTTCATGATTTTTACAATCGCGTTTCTTAGATCGGAAAAGCCTTTCCAAACAGCGAAGTAACGATAGAAATTTCGACCCTTGACCGGCCAAGAAGCTATTTTCACAAGGATCTCATCCAACTGGACGTCTCCATGCTTCTTCGCTTCTCTGTGCACCTGCCCAACATATCGACAGTCGATACTTTCGGTGTTCGGATTGTAAGTAGTAAATATTACTTCCGTCCCATAATAGTTGGTACATTTGCCTACAGATTGCAAACACTAGATGCAACAATGAAATAGTATTTTATATTATTACACCCCCCATCTCTCCCATCACAATTGTTATTATTCACTAAACTTTCTTTACTACTGCCTAAGATCACAAAGTTCAGCTTGTTAACCATTACACTACAATGAGGTGCAAATTTTTCCCTTTCTTTCATATTTAGATTTTATACAATAAACGTCGCAAATATTATGGGACAGCGATAGGATGTCACCACAAACTTTGGTTCTTAATTTCTTTCACAATTTTTCTTTCTTCAAAGTGTTTCTTTTCTTTTGAAACTTCTAAATTTAAAAAGAAATTACTTTTTGTTTAACCTTAAAAGTTCTCTTACAAACCATTTTGAAACAATGCAAAATTCACAGTTGCGAAAAAAAAAACATTTAAAATTAACTTTAAAACATGTTTACATTTTGATTAACTGACCCCACACCGTCAGACTTCATTTAGGGCCAGAGCGCAGCCTAAGAATAGATAGGTTCGCATATCGCCCAGTTTACATTCCTCTCTGGTATTTTGAACAGGAGTAGAGGTTTATCCCTTGTCTCTTGTTTACGATTGAGTGTCCGGTTCTTTCTAAAGTTTTCTCATTCTATTTCACTCCCAGTAGAAGCCCCTTGCGTCTTAGCTGTCTTGCTTGGAATGAATTGATCTAAAAATACCTGCTAGATGATTCTTACTTTTAAGTAACATAGATTGTTTTTCACTTCCAAACACCTGTTCTCGGTATGACGATAAACTACATCCGGCAGCAAGGCATCTGATCGGGAGGCTTCGAGAAACTTGGAATCACTTCTTAATTGCTGTTGTTCCCAGATCCACCCTAACCCGAAGTGGTAGCACCTGTTAAGGTCCCAGCTATGGGCAAATAAAGAACCCTCCCAACACTATGAAATCATAAAAATACATTTTTATAGTGAAAATACCAGCAATAGATTTTCATACGAAATAATACATTTTTGTATTTAAAAAAAGTATTAAAGCTGACAAGAAAATTAAATATCTGCATTAAAATGACCCATAAGGTGTTGATATGTCATTAAAGAAACAAACTTCCAAATACTTCTTACGTTTATCATTTATACCCTTCAACTTTGCTGTTTTATATGTCGTCTGCAGTTATTTTAAAATTAATCATTGTCTTTAAATATGGAATACAGTACAAGTAAAAAAAAGCAATTCTTTGACACGAAGGCATTCGTAATTGTTCTTTTTTTTTCCAGAACATAAAAGCTGATTTGACTGCCACAGTGAATAACAGTATTCTTTATTACAGTGTCAATAATATGAGGTAAGTTTTAAAGGAAACCCTTTTGTAAAGATATCTTACGTTTAAAATCTTTTTTCTTCACCAAGCTGTTGATAATGAATTAGCAGTGATACTTAATTTCATCGCAAGACAAAACATGCAATGACATGACAGTCTTAAGATTTACAGGGTGTCTTTAAAGTATGTACACATAAGCAAAAATGCATATTTTCAAGAAATAAAAATTTCAACATTTTATTGAATTGGAATATTAACTAATAAACATCCTCAATATGATTTCCATCATTTGTGATGCAAAGATTGATGCGCTTTACAAGATTCACATAAACCCGATGCAGTATCTCTACATTGCCGCCAATTTTAGCACATTCACTCTTTATACGTTCAATCAAGTGTGTTGCATCTGTGATTTTCATTGAATAAACCTTCACCTTTAGCGTACCCAAGGAAAAAAAGACAATTCTTTCTTCTTTCGACAAAATCATGTTTCATCTGTGAAGGAAAAAAATACAGTTAATGAAATTTCCTGTGTTCACACTTTAGGGTCGCCCTGTATAAACGATATTGCTTCTAAATGCTCCCGTTTTCGCTTCAAATTGTTTTACCTCTGTATTTATTTCTCTTTAAGACGAAGTGTCTTTGCAAATTCTGTTGGTGTATTTATTGTATAAAAATACAATTTTGGCACATGGCCTAAAAGGGGAGGAGTTGAGGCTGGTCGTCACTGTCTTATACCTAGCTAATCCGATTCACGACCCATTCACTCATTACAATTTCCACATTCACCATAAAAACTCGTCAGTCACCACTCAAACCACCATACATCACAATACAACATCCTCTCGGGGGGGGGGCTAAAAAACGCACCCCATGTCATAAAAATTTAATAATAATAAATTATTATACATAAAAATGAAGAATGAGAGGGGGGGAGATGAACCCAATAATAAACTAAAACTCAACACAAAGTAAACTAAATATAACTGATGTTAGTAGGGCCCGTCCAACCCACAAAAAGGAAGTTTCTTTGCAAATTCTGTTGGTCGTGAATCCGTAAAGTGTTTCAGATTTGCGTTTTACGAGATATTTTCAATTATCATTTTAATTAGCATTTTCCACATAGCAAAAAGTACAGAATTATAATAATCTTCTTCTCCTCGTTCTTCTTCTTCTTTTTCTTCTTCTTCTTTGTGTCTATAAAGGCGCATCTTTCGCTATCCCAATGCTCTTTCGTATTTCAGTGTCACATCAATTTCAGGAAAATCGGTTGAGAGAGTCTATCTATAAAAATACTTTAAGGTGGACATTGAAGTCAAAACTCAGGGCCGACAGTTTGTTTCATGCTTAAACGCAATCTTCAAGCCATGTACGTTGTGCTTTTGACTCGACTATTTATATATGCCGGCAAACAGCGCATTATGTGTAGAAGGGTCTATTGTGTAGAAGGATCTATTGTGTAGAAGGGTCTATTGTGTAGAAGGGTCTATTGTGTAGAATGGTCTATTGTGTTTATTCTTAACATTTATTGGGGGGGTAACGGTTATGTTTTAAATTATTTTATTAGTTCATTCAATAGAAAAAAATTGTGCATCTGAATGCAGTTTCCTGCCTATTTTCATAATGCTGTTTGTTAACCTTTTTTTCCTCATTATTTATTATTGATTAATTAATTATTTTTTGTTGATTGTTATTGTGTGTGCCTTCTTAGTTTGATTATTTGTTTATTATTTACTTGATTTGGATTATTTTACTTATTTATTTTAATTTACTTATTTTTATTTTATCGTTTTTTTTTTTTTCGATTTTTAAATAAAGTTGTAAAAATTTGTTTTCGCGTTTTCATTTTGAGATGAATTCTCATCGTTTATTTCGTAATTTATGTTTATCTGGGAAGGTGATCACAGCTATTTTCTCCTCCAGACAAGAGTTTAAAGTTTCAGGATTAATTATTGTAGGCTGATGCTGTTTTTCTTATGTTCCATATTTTGGCGGGTGATTTAGTTTCCGTTTTTAATTTCCCATATATGTTTAAAAAGCTTTGTGATCTTCGTGTATTTACTATTTGTTTGGTTTGGTTTGGTTTGGTTTACGGCATATCAATCTCAATGGATCATTTAATGCCGACATTTTTTTTCCTGGTAATATTTTTGTTTTGTCAAAAATCTATTTCTGGTAATTTTTTTTCCTCAAAAATGTATAGCTGGTAATATTTTTTTCAAAAACGTATTGCTGGTACTAGTTTTTCTTCTTCAAAAATTTAATTCTGGTAATAATATTTTTACAAAGTATTTCTGATATTAAAACCTAGTTTTACACTTTCATATTGCTTTTTACCTCAGTTTCAGGGTTAACTATTTGCCCATAGCCGGGACCCTAACAGGTGCTACCACCCAGGGACAGTGTGGACCTGGGAACACTAGCAATTAAGAGGTCGTTCCACACTCCTCAAAACCTCCTGATCAGAGGCCTTGCTGTTAGACGTAATTTATCGTCTTACCTTGGACGCGGATGTTGTTTATCGTCATACCTAGAACGAGTTACTGTTTGTAAAGGATCTTTTATATGCGTAGTTTCCTTGTTACGGACAGGAATTGGAGGTTGCAGATTCTTAAGGCTCTTAAATCTTCATTTTATACAAGAGCACAAGAGAATCAAATTTACAGTAGTAGTAATAATAAAAATGTATAGCTGGCCACTCGTATTCGAGGATATCCGTCTACTAGGGCGAATAGCCAATCCTTATTGCAAACGCTTGCTCAGGCATATTTGTGTTTATTCCACACCCACAAAGTCCATCTGTAGTTTATACTGCAACTATCTTAGAGCTTCTGAGAAATAGTGTGTTATCTAGCGTAATCAACAATTTGAACAAGGCCAGCACACTCAAACTCTCGGTCACGATGACTTGTGACTTCGTGCTAGCGCAGCTATCAACAGCCCCGAGTGTTCCGTCGATCCAATTTCATTCACAAGGCTTGGGTCAACCCATGGTATGGTTTTCAGGCACTTTCCAAAGGTGGCTCACGCTGGTATCGTCCCACTCCAGACCGATAACATCAGGAAGTCTCCTTCCAGACAAATTGACCATGATGAGATTCGAACCCAGGTCTCATGGTCAGAATTTGAACGTTCCAACCCCTCGACCCTCATAATAATAATAATGAGTAGGTAACATTTAATTTAATTTCTCATTTGTTTTGAATGAAGAATTCTCTGAATATTTTTCGGCTTTCTTTACAATCGTTCAACATCCGAGTGAGATTTCTCTGATTATTGTGGTAATTTTTTAAACGTAGCTTAGATGTGGCACAAGGCCGAAAGTATGGAGCATCCAGTGAGGAGCGAACTCACTACTCGTAAATGATCTTGCGAGACAAGCTTTCTAACCATTACACCACATCGAAGTGCCCATTTCTCCGTTTATTGTGATCTTATGTGAGAATTTGAGGGAAAAAAAAACAAATTTATTTCTCAAATTAAAAGAAAATTATCCATTGAAGTGACGTATTTCAGTAAAAAAAAATAATTACATTATGACAAAGAATACAAAAAGTATAAAATAAACTCTCGTAATACTTACCTCTTTCTTTCATAGATAGATAGACTAACGCAAGATTCTTCCTTCTGTAGCTAGCTAGCTAGCTAGCTAGATAGATAGATAGATAGATAGATAGATAGATAGATAAACTAACCCAAGTTTCTTCTTTCTGTAGATAGATAGATAGATAGATAGATAGATAGATAGACTAACAAAAGTTTCTTCCTTCTGTAGATAGATAGATAGATAGATAGATAGATAGATAGATAGATAGATAGATAGATAGACTAGCCCAAGTTTCTTCCTTCGATAGATAGATAGATAGATAGATAGATAGATAGATAGATAGATAGATAGATAGATAGATTAACCCAAGTTTCTTCTTTCTGTAGATAGATAGATTAACCTAAATTTTCTGTTTATTTCGAAGCTATGAAATCGGTGACAGTGGCGGCGTCTACCTGAGGAATC